GACAAGACACCTTGCAACTCTGCTGTGGGCCAGACCGCAAGACAAAAGATAAAACAAATGCGCCCACATACTTCCCTAGGGGTGGACATCAGGGACTGATATTCTAAATAGGTAGCGATCACCTTGAAAAGGCCAGGAAGAGTCACTAGCCCAACCCCCTACAGGAAAAGCCCGTTCTGTATTCATGCCTATTTGCTACATGACTCGCTTCCCCATTTGATCCCGATTTACTCAATTTTACCTGAACTATTATACTTGCAATCTTATTGGCTAATCATAGTTTTGTCCCACCTCATGCCCACCTAGCGAGTTCCCATGTCTCCCACCTTGGACCTGCCTCACCTCATGGTTTTGCTCTCTAAAAATCCCTGGAAAAGACAGGCTCCTGCACAACTCACTCGGGCCCCCTTCTGTCCCTCTCTCGGACAGAAGCTTTCTTTCCCTCATAAACCCTGTTGTTCCTAAAATTCATTCTTCAGTTTTGGAGAACACAAATTCACCCCATACATCTTTCAGGTTGGGAGTTTCTTTCCTCTATGTCACCACAAGAATGTCCCATAAAATGAGACAGGAAGACCTGTAGACCTGTAGTCAAAGACCAGCCTGGGCTACACAGTGACTTCAAGGCCAGTATAAGTTACATAGCAAGATCCTGTCTCAAAAAAACAAATCCCAAGAAAATTGAGCCAATTTAAAATTTTGATCTACTGTAAAAGTATAAAATGAACACCAGATCTTGAAGGCTTGAAATGAAAACAAAAGTCCAAGATACTCATTTAATAAATTTTGCATGGTTTACATGGCAAGGTAACATTTTTGATATACTGGGTGAAATAGAACATATTAAAACGAGTCTCATCTGTTCCTTAAAATGTGATTGTGAGAGAGGCATAGCGTACACGCCTGCCGGGGGTTCCAGCACTCTGGGAAGCTGAGGCAGGAGGATCTGGACTTAGTACAGCCTGGGGAACTTTGTGACTTAGTAAGGCTCTTTTTGAAAATAGACTGAAAAAGAGTAAAGGCCCTGGGCTCAATCCTAGTACCAAAAAAGAAAATGATTGGTTGCTATAGAAAGTACCTAAGTACTCCTGCTGGGCAGCGCAGCTTAGACTGACAGACTGGCACCAAGTTTCAGGCCCATGTATTCTCCTTTGGGGAAGAGGGAGAAACTGGAAGAATACTAGAACAGTTTTTTTTTCCTCCGCTTACATTCCGGAAGACTGAGATGACCACTCCAGTTCTCACTGCTTAGACGCCTTGGAGAAGGCACCTGGACACCGTGTGTCACACTTCTGTGTTTGCAGAGTGAGGAGCAAGGTTTTCCCCACGCGCCCGAGGAGAAAGTCAGGCCACCTCAGCATTTTGGCCTCTGCGACCTCTGGACTCAGTGAGACACACAGCGGGAAGCACGTGTGAGGCTTGCTAAGCAACTGCAGCGAGGTGAGCCTGCAGATCTCACCCGGAAAGCACTCTGCTTCTCCGGATGGAAACCTTGGGCCTGGCGATGCCCAAGAGCTTCACCGAAGCCTATGTGAGCTAACCGTTACCCAGTGTCTGTGTAAAATACGGAGAACCAAGGTGATTTAACCTTGAATTTACATAATCTCATCTTCCTTTCAGAGGGAGGACGCCAGCACCAGGGACATTCAGCTGTGTTCCGAAGTCTCCCGCCACTGCCCTGAACTTTCAATCGCCTGATTCCCAGCAAAGCAGAGCCCACGGGAGGGAAACCACAGCGGAGCAGTCCAGGGAAGGCACCGCCCCTCGAGCCATGAGGGCTCCGGGGCTGGGAAGCCGGGACCGAGAGCCGACCCGGGGCCCCGGTGCAGCTCCGCTCGTCCTGGTCGGCGGCCTCCCGCCTCTGCGGGCCGCGCTGACCCCTTCCCCAGCGCACTCCTCCGGCTGCTCACGCTGGGGTCCTGTCCCGTTCTCTCCTTTGTTAGGGGCCAGGCTGAGCTGTGTCCGCGCCCCTTACCGTGTCTGTACTTTCTAATTCAAGCTTTTCTTGTAAATTCCTGCTTTGGTTTTATTTTCCATCCTCACTAACAGCAAGATCCCACACTAGCAGCAGCACTACACTCTTGTTCTGCCTCTAATAATTTCAGCAAATCAAGTTCCGTGTATCAATCTTGCTGTTTGTGAAAGAGCATTGATTCCTTCCACTGTCAAATTCTGTGCTAGGCTAGCCAGAGGAACAAAATGAGGCCCAGGAAAAGGAGTGAGAAAAGTCCACCCAGGCTTTTTTTATTAAAACACATCGCACTTCCAGAATCTTTAAACAGGGGCAAAAAGGGGTGAAAGCAATTATAAAAAAAAAAAATCAAGGTGATGTATGTCACTGGCAAAGATAATCTGTGAGCCTCAAAGTAATGACAGCAACATACTGTTAACAAGACAAAAATTTTAATCTTATCGAGACATACAGTACCTAAAGGAGGAATTCATCACTGCCAGGGGGTGTATTTCAGGCAAACTACCCAAGTCTTGCGCAGCTGGATCCTAGAATGTTATTGGGGAAAACAGATGCTAATAAGGGACTGAAGCAGATGACCTTTCCCTCTGTTTGGCGTGAAATCTGAACCGGAAGTGGCACTACGGGTACACCGCCCTCCCAGCAGCTCTTCGTGCCTCACTGACTTCGCTGTCTGTAAAATCGCCGGGGGCTGACAGATGAAGGAAAGATGTCTTGTGGGGAAACCACTCTAGAAAGCTCAAATTGTGCCACCTCCTCTCTTCCTTCCATCCCCTCGCCCAGAGCTTATGCCCTTGCACCTTTGGAAGGCAAGACATTTCCTCCACCGCTCAGAGGTTACTTCCCGCATTTGAAAACGTGGCTAACAGTATCTGCTCCTAATCTGTGTAAATGAGTTAATACATACAGAGGCATATACACCGGCCAGCACTAGGTACATTGGTGAACACTCATTATTTCTTAAAATATGGATGTAATTGACCAACTGGGGGAGGGTAAGAAGGGAAGGAGTGAAGGAAGGCACTGCAGACCCCACGCTTCTTGGAGGGCAAGCAGTTCCTTACATGGGGGCAATGCCTGCGTCCCCGAAGACTGAACAGAAAATGGAAAAAATACATATAAACGCGTGCATGCATATACGCGCACACAGGAACACTGCATTCATCATTTTCATGAAACTGGCCTTCACTTCTAAGAACTGGCCGAGGTCACAGCCTAGCTTAAGACTCCTTAGTCCTTCCTTTCACCCAAAGTTCAGCTCGCTACCGGTATCTTCAGCCCTTGCAGCTCCCGTTCAAAAACAAAATTCCTCACGCTGACTGCTCAGACCCCTCCACGGGCAGCGCCTCCTCCAAAACCGCCGGCTCAGTGGTCTGTCCCCGCTGTCCTCTCTCTAGACTCCAAATTTCCCCAAGGCCAAGCGGGGTTGCGCTCAGCTATAACCCCAGCAATGGGGAGGCTGACCCAGGAGGATCGCTGCGCGCTCGAGGTCAGCATAGGCTACAGTGAGTCCAAGGCCAGCCTGGGAAACTACAGAATTCCTCCTCAAGCTTCTGCAAGCTTTGCTGCCCTTGTCCCGTGAGAACACTGAACGACCGCGAAGGATGCGTCTGAAACTGGCCGCCTGAGGCTCGGCCCCTCTTCCGTCTCTGCTCACGAGAAAGGCCTGGTCCTCCAGCATCTTCCAGACCCGAATGGGGCCGGCAAAGAAAACGCAAGCAAGCTGCCCCACGTTTGGCCAATTTAACGGCCTCTTCCCCGCTGGAACTTTGCCCCACCCGGCTGCTTAGAACCACAGGGCTGCACCTGAGAGCAGCGCGGCACGTACACTGGGCACCTGGGGGGGAGAAAAGGGACGCGCGGCACGGTAAGGTTTACGCAGGAGGCCGAACCACCCACAGCTGATTTTGCTATGGCCAGTTACAATTACACTCTTCTGCGTACCCCAGCCGCTGCACGCACCCCCGAGACCCCGGCATTGCCTGCCTTACCCCGCCACGCAAAGCTGTGCCCGGGAGCAGAGGCAGGGCTTACACCCGAGTGCGGAGCAGCTCTAATGTTGACAGCCTTAGGCGGCTCTGAAAAGAGCCTTTGGGGGTAGATGTTAGACGCTCACTTGCCGAGTTTACTTGGCGCTGGTGTACTTGGTGACCGCCTTGGTGCCCTCCGACACCGCGTGCTTCGCCAGCTCCCCGGGCAGCAGCAGCCGCACGGCCGTCTGGATCTCCCGAGACGTGATGGTCGAGCGCTTGTTGTAGTGCGCCAGGCGCGACGCCTCGCCCGCGATGCGCTCGAAGATGTCGTTCACGAA